TATGTCAAATGAACGACGATTACTGTAATGTCCAACCAAGTTCAAACTGCTCTAAAAGTAAACTCTTAGAAACAGGATCTATACACCATTTGTAGACCTGAAAAAATACGTTCAGCATGCATTTTTCAGTGTTTTGCATCATTATCGGTAGTCCTATAAGTTTGGCTTTGCTATGTTCCAGTCTCACGATCCCCATTTTGATTGACATTTTATCTTGGTACCCTCAAAGAACTACAATACATGCATCAAAAACTTCAGGAAACAAAATATGCAAGAACTATTTTGTGTGATCATAGAAGTCCCCTAGAATGACCACTTAGATATTAAAGTTCATAAACAAGCAATTTGAAATTACAATCGCTTGTTAAAGTGACTCCTCCCTTCATGTTGACTGAAAGAGCTTTGAGACACTACCCATCCCTTTTCAGATGACGTAATCATAAGGACATAACTTATTCTAATGTTTTCACTTATTCATACATGATTCCAAGGGTTCAAACTAAACACTGAATGGTCACACAAGTGTCAGCTCACAATATATTGTAAACAGTACCAGCTTGAATATCTGGACAATGTTTTAGGAAGATTGAAATTGGGGTGTCCTTAAAAAACAGCCCGCAACTAAATATAAATTAAGTAATCCAAATCTTCAACTGTTGATAATGACGGGAAGTCATCCAATACTATACTGAACATATTTTATATGATATACTCAGAGGGCATACCATTATCAAAGAGGTACCAAATGACAGATCGTTTTTCATTTTCTGCAGTTTTGTTAGCAATATTATACCCCAATCTGTTGTGATGACTAATATCTCGTTAACCACATTACCCACATATGTGAAATTTCGGATATGACTTTGCTAAACATTCCTTCAAAATAAAATGGAAGCTTTTCAAACATTGGACATCGAGAATACAGTTAGTTCACGTACTTTTTGATCGACCCAGGTAGTTATGGATTCCTCTCCATTCGTCAGTATAATTTTCTCAATTGTTGTTGTGAAGTTTACATATGTGATATGTGAAATGCCTTCCACATGCGTTTGTTCACACCCATCCGTTTTTCCAGGGATGTACCGCATACGCCTATCTGCATGATGATAAGGGAGAATTTATCTTGTTAGTACAATACTGTGGGATCCGACCTCTCGTGTATGTTTCGTTGATAGCCAAAAGAATGAGCCCCGACTGGGGATTGAACCCAGGATCTTCGGTTTACGAGACCGACGCCTTACCACTTGGCCACCGAGGCTGATGGATTGGCTATGGTTAGCTTGTAAGACTTACATGTTCATTGCTAAATGCCAATAGATGTTCGTCCATTTCTTAGTGCAACTAAGTAGTGCAAACCAGGTGAAATACGACTGTGAATACTGAGTGGTCAAAGTACTGCAAGTATGAAAGAACTCTAGTAGAAATCAGGACTTAGACTAAACTGGTTACAGCTACTATCATTCATAGTTTCTTCAAATGTATGTCAGTTAGTGTTTGCATAAAGTACACGTGTCTATATTTAAATGGTCAAGCTATTGCATATTCCATTTTAAGTATGAATTCTAGTTCGTCTTCTTCAATAAATCATAGAACTTCCTGTATGTATCTTGTCAATAATTTCTGGAGAATAAATTGTCGTCTTTCAAAATGAAGGATTACTGCAATCGATATCAGAGTACAACATCTGCTGTATTCAAATATGCACCATACCAATTAATTGATAATATTTCTACAAAGAAAAAGCCCCGACTGGGATTTGAACCCAGGATCTTCGGTTTACGAGACCGACGCCTTACCACTTGGCCACCGAGGCTGACAAATGCTGAGCAAACACAATCATTTGAAGAACGCACTATTTGAGTCATAGATAAGTGACAAATGATACCCGAAGGTCATGTGATTCAAATATGTACTAAGTGTTTATGAGCGTCCCTGAAATGTACGCCAAATATATGACGTATACTCTAATGTCAAACTCAGTTCAAATTGCTCTGAAATTAAGCTCTTAGAGACAGGATCTATACACAATTTGCACACTTGAAAATACGTTCAGCATACATTTTTCAGTGTATTGCATCATTATCGTTAGCCCTATAATAATTAGTTTTCCTGCAACACAAATTCTTGACCAGTTTCACGAAACAATATCATAGCTGCAACATTCAGTTTCTTTGATACGTGTCAGTATCTTCAAATGAGTCGACTGCATATGGGATGTGATGGGTATGCGCCTGTTAACTTTCTGGGATCTCCAGTTTACCAGACCGACGCCTTACCATTTGGCCAAGGAGGTGCACAGCACAGCAACGTTTACGTTTACTTCACATGCATGGTCCTTCCTGATAGTCAATCGAATTCTGACACATGTCACTGAAAGTGAAAGGCAAAGCACCTAATACATGTTGTACATGACTGATGTTTCCTTTAATAATTTTGCTAAAGGTAAGTGGTATCTTCCTAATATTTATCTGAAGTAAGATTGCAATGCTTTTCATACTTGTTATTCTTCATTTGGTCACAAGAGAAATTTCGAAATGAATAATCAAGTGAAACGTATCAAATTGAGCCTGCACCTTTCATATAGATAGTTATGGATTCCTCTCCATTCGTCAGTATAATTTTCTCAATTGTTGTTGTGAAGTTTATATATGTGATATGTGAAATGCCTTCCACATGCGTTTGTTCACACTCATCCGTTTTTCCAGGGATGTACCGCATACGCCTATCTGCATGATGATAAGGAGAATTTATCTTGTTAGTACAATACTGTGGGATCCGACCTCTCGTGTATGTTTCGTTGATAGCCAAAAGAATGAGCCCCGACTGGGGATTGAACCCAGGATCTTCGGTTTACGAGACCGACGCCTTACCACTTGGCCACCGAGGCTGATGGATTGGCTATGGTTAGCTTGTAAGACTTACATGTTCATTGCTAAATGCCAATAGATGTTCGTCCATTTCTTAGTGCAACTAAGTAGTGCAAACCAGGTGAAATACGACTGTGAATACTGAGTGGTCAAAGTACTGCAAGTATGAAAGAACTCTAGTAGAAATCAGGACTTACACTAAACTGGTTACAGCTACTATCATTCATAGTTTCTTACAAATGTATGTCAGTTAGTGTTTGCATAAAGTACACGTGTCTATATTTAAATGGTCAAGCTATTGCATATTCCATTTTAAGTATGAATTCTAGTTCGTCTTCTTCAATAAGTCATAGAACTTCCTGTATGTATCTTGTCAATAATTTCTGGAGAATAAATTGTCGTCTTTCAAAATGAAGGATTACTGCAATCGATATCAGAGTACAACATCTGCTGTATTCAAATATGCACCATACCAATAAATTGATAATATTTCTACAAAGAAAAGCCCCGACTGGGATTTGAACCCAGGATCTTCGGTTTACGAGACCGACGCCTTACCACTTGGCCACCGAGGCTGACAAAGGCTGAGCAAACACAATCATTTGAAGAACGCGCTATTTGAGCCATAGATAAGTGACAAATGATACCCGAAGGTCATGTGATTCAACTATGTACTAAGTGTTATGAGCGTCCCTGACAAGTACGCCAAATATATGACGTATACTCTAATGTCAAACTCAGTTCAAATTGCTCTGAAATTAAGCTCTTAGAGACAGGATCTATACACAATTCGCACACTTGAAAAATACGTTCAGCATACATTTTTCTGTGTATTGCATCATTATCGTTAGCCCTATAATAATTAGTTTTCCTGCAACACAAATTCTTGACCAGTTTCACGAAACAATATCATAGCTGCAACATTCAGTTTCTTTGATACGTGTCAGTATCTTCAAATGAGTCGACTGCATATGGGATGTGATGGGTATGCGCCTGTTAACTTTCTGGGATCTCCACTTTACCAGACCGACGCCTTACCATTTGGCCAAGGAGGTGCACAGCACAGCAACGTTTACGTTTACTTCACATGCATGGTCCTTGCTGATAGTCAATCGAATTCTGACACATGTCACTGAAAGTGAAAGGCAAAGCACGTAATACATGTTGTACATGACTGATGTTTCCTTTAATACTTTTGCTAAAGGTAAGTGGTATCTTCCTAATATTTATCTGAAGTAAGATTGCAATGCTTTTCATACTTGTTATTCTTCATTTGGTCACAAGAGAAATTTCGAAATGAATAATCAAGTGAAACGTATCAAATTGAGCCTGCACCTTTCATAGAGATAGTTATGGATTCCTCTCCATTCGTCAGTATAATTTTCTCAATTGTTGTTGTGAAGTTTATATATGTGATATGTGAAATGCCTTCCACATGCGTTTGTTCACACTCATCCGTTTTTCCAGGGATGTACCGCATACGCCTATCTGCATGATGATAAGGGAGAATTTATCTTGTTAGTACAATACTGTGGGATCCGACCTCTCGTGTATGTTTCGTTGATAGCCAAAGAATGAGCCCCGACTGGGGATTGAACCCAGGATCTTCGGTTTACGAGACCGACGCCTTACCACTTGGCCACCGAGGCTGATGGATTGGCTATGGTTAGCTTGTAAGACTTACATGTTCATTGCTAAATGCCAATAGATGTTCGTCCATTTCTTAGTGCAACTAAGTAGTGCAAACCACGTGAAATACGACTGTGAATACTGAGTGGTCAAAGTACTGCAAGTATGAAAGAACTCTAGTAGAAATCAGGACTTACACTAAACTGGTTACAGCTACTATCATTCATAGTTTGTTACAAATGTATGTCAGTTAGTGTTTGCATAAAGTACACGTGTCTATATTTAAATGGTCAAGCTATTGCATATTCCATTTTAAGTATGAATTCTAGTTCGTCTTCTTCAATAAGTCATAGAACTTCCTGTATGTATCTTGTCAATAATTTCTGGAGAATAAATTGTCGTCTTTCAAAATGAAGGATTACTGCAATCGATATCAGAGTACAACATCTGCTGTATTCAAATATGCACCATACCAATAAATTGATAATATTTCTACAAAAGAAAAAGCCCGACTGGGATTTGAACCCAGGATCTTCGGTTTACGAGACCGACGCCTTACCACTTGGCCACCGAGGCTGACAAAGGCTGAGCAAACACAATCATTTGAAGAACGCGCTATTTGAGCCATAGATAAGTGACAAATGATACCCGAAGGTCATGTGATTCAACTATGTACTAAGTGTTATGAGCGTCCCTGACAAGTACGCCAAATATATGACGTATACTCTAATGTCAAACTCAGTTCAAATTGCTCTGAAATTAAGCTCTTAGAGACAGGATCTATACACAATTCGCACACTTGAAAAATACGTTCAGCATACATTTTTCTGTGTATTGCATCATTATCGTTAGCCCTATAATAATTAGTTTTCCTGCAACACAAATTCTTGACCAGTTTCACGAAACAATATCATAGCTGCAACATTCAGTTTCTTTGATACGTGTCAGTATCTTCAAATGAGTCGACTGCATATGGGATGTGATGGGTATGCGCCTGTTAACTTTCTGGGATCTCCACTTTACCAGACCGACGCCTTACCATTTGGCCAAGGAGGTGCACAGCACAGCAACGTTTACGTTTACTTCACATGCATGGTCCTTCCTGATAGTCAATCGAATTCTGACACATGTCACTGAAAGTGAAAGGCAAAGCACGTAATACATGTTGTACATGACTGATGTTTCCTTTAATACTTTTGCTAAAGGTAAGTGGTATCTTCCTAATATTTATCTGAAGTAAGATTGCAATGCTTTTCATACTTGTTATTCTTCATTTGGTCACAAGAGAAATTTCGAAATGAATAATCAAGTGAAACGTATCAAATTGAGCCTGCACCTTTCATAGAGATAGTTATGGATTCCTCTCCATTCGTCAGTATAATTTTCTCAATTGTTGTTGTGAAGTTTATATATGTGATATGTGAAATGCCTTCCACATGCGTTTGTTCACACTCATCCGTTTTTCCAGGGATGTACCGCATACGCCTATCTGCATGATGATAAGGGAGAATTTATCTTGTTAGTACAATACTGTGGGATCCGACCTCTCGTGTATGTTTCGTTGATAGCCAAAAGAATGAGCCCCGACTGGGGATTGAACCCAGGATCTTCGGTTTACGAGACCGACGCCTTACCACTTGGCCACCGAGGCTGATGGATTGGCTATGGTTAGCTTGTAAGACTTACATGTTCATTGCTAAATGCCAATAGATGTTCGTCCATTTCTTAGTGCAACTAAGTAGTGCAAACCACGTGAAATACGACTGTGAATACTGAGTGGTCAAAGTACTGCAAGTATGAAAGAACTCTAGTAGAAATCAGGACTTACACTAAACTGGTTACAGCTACTATCATTCATAGTTTGTTACAATGTATGTCAGTTAGTGTTTGCATAAAGTACACGTGTCTATATTTAAATGGTCAAGCTATTGCATATTCCATTTTAAGTATGAATTCTAGTTCGTCTTCTTCAATAAATCATAGAACTTCCTGTATGTATCTTGTCAATAATTTCTGGAGAATAAATTGTCGTCTTTCAAAATGAAGGATTACTGCAATCGATATCAGAGTACAACATCTGCTGTATTCAAATATGCACCATACCAATAAATTGATAATATTTCTACAAAAGAAAAAGCCCCGACTGGGATTTGAACCCAGGATCTTCGGTTTACGAGACCGACGCCTTACCACTTGGCCACCGAGGCTGACAAAGGCTGAGCAAACACAATCATTTGAAGAACGCTATTTGAGCCATAGATAAGTGACAAATGATACCCGAAGGTCATGTGATTCAACTATGTACTAAGTGTTATGAGCGTCCCTGAAAAGTACGCCAAATATATGACGTATACTCTAATGTCAAACTCAGTTCAAATTGCTCTGAAATTAAGCTCTTAGAGACAGGATCTATACACAATTTGCACACTTGAAAAATACGTTCAGCATACATTTTTCTGTGTATTGCATCATTATCGTTAGCCCTATAATAATTAGTTTTCCTGCAACACAAATTCTTGACCAGTTTCACGAAACAATATCATAGCTGCAACATTCAGTTTCTTTGATACGTGTCAGTATCTTCAAATGAGTCGACTGCATATGGGATGTGATGGGTATGCGCCTGTTAACTTTCTGGGATCTCCACTTTACCAGACCGACGCCTTACCATTTGGCCAAGGAGGTGCACAGCACAGCAACGTTTACGTTTACTTCACATGCATGGTCCTTCCTGATAGTCAATCGAATTCTGACACATGTCACTGAAAGTGAAAGGCAAAGCACGTAATACATGTTGTACATGACTGATGTTTCCTTTAATACTTTTGCTAAAGGTAAGTGGTATCTTCCTAATATTTATCTGAAGTAAGATTGCAATGCTTTTCATACTTGTTATTCTTCATTTGGTCACAAGAGAAATTTCGAAATGAATAATCAAGTGAAACGTATCAAATTGAGCCTGCACCTTTCATATAGATAGTTATGGATTCCTCTCCATTCGTCAGTATAATTTTCTCAATTGTTGTTGTGAAGTTTATATATGTGATATGTGAAATGCCTTCCACATGCGTTTGTTCACACTCATCCGTTTTCCAGGGATGTACCGCATACGCCTATCTGCATGATGATAAGGGAGAATTTATCTTGTTAGTACAATACTGTGGGATCCGACCTCTCGTGTATGTTTCGTTGATAGCCAAAGAATGAGCCCCGACTGGGGATTGAACCCAGGATCTTCGGTTTACGAGACCGACGCCTTACCACTTGGCCACCGAGGCTGATGGATTGGCTATGGTTAGCTTGTAAGACTTACATGTTCATTGCTAAATGCCAATAGATGTTCGTCCATTTCTTAGTGCAACTAAGTAGTGCAAACCACGTGAAATACGACTGTGAATACTGAGTGGTCAAAGTACTGCAAGTATGAAAGAACTCTAGTAGAAATCAGGACTTACACTAAACTGGTTACAGCTACTATCATTCATAGTTTGTTACAATGTATGTCAGTTAGTGTTTGCATAAAGTACACGTGTCTATATTTAAATGGTCAAGCTATTGCATATTCCATTTTAAGTATGAATTCTAGTTCGTCTTCTTCAATAAGTCATAGAACTTCCTGTATGTATCTTGTCAATAATTTCTGGAGAATAAATTGTCGTCTTTCAAAATGAAGGATTACTGCAATCGATATCAGAGTACAACATCTGCTGTATTCAAATATGCACCATACCAATAAATTGATAATATTTCTACAAAAGAAAAAGCCCCGACTGGGATTTGAACCCAGGATCTTCGGTTTACGAGACCGACGCCTTACCACTTGGCCACCGAGGCTGACAAAGGCTGAGCAAACACAATCATTTGAAGAACGCGCTATTTGAGCCATAGATAAGTGACAAATGATACCCGAAGGTCATGTGATTCAACTATGTACTAAGTGTTATGAGCGTCCCTGACAAGTACGCCAAATATATGACGTATACTCTAATGTCAAACTCAGTTCAAATTGCTCTGAAATTAAGCTCTTAGAGACAGGATCTATACACAATTTGCACACTTGAAAAATACGTTCAGCATACATTTTTCTGTGTATTGCATCATTATCGTTAGCCCTATAATAATTAGTTTTCCTGCAACACAAATTCTTGACCAGTTTCACGAAACAATATCATAGCTGCAACATTCAGTTTCTTTGATACGTGTCAGTATCTTCAAATGAGTCGACTGCATATGGGATGTGATGGGTATGCGCCTGTTAACTTTCTGGGATCTCCACTTTACCAGACCGACGCCTTACCATTTGGCCAAGGAGGTGCACAGCACAGCAACGTTTACGTTTACTTCACATGCATGGTCCTTGCTGATAGTCAATCGAATTCTGACACATGTCACTGAAAGTGAAAGGCAAAGCACGTAATACATGTTGTACATGACTGATGTTTCCTTTAATACTTTTGCTAAAGGTAAGTGGTATCTTCCTAATATTTATCTGAAGTAAGATTGCAATGCTTTTCATACTTGTTATTCTTCATTTGGTCACAAGAGAAATTTCGAAATGAATAATCAAGTGAAACGTATCAAATTGAGCCTGCACCTTTCATAGAGATAGTTATGGATTCCTCTCCATTCGTCAGTATAATTTTCTCAATTGTTGTTGTGAAGTTTATATATGTGATATGTGAAATGCCTTCCACATGCGTTTGTTCACACTCATCCGTTTTTCCAGGGATGTACCGCATACGCCTATCTGCATGATGATAAGGGAGAATTTATCTTGTTAGTACAATACTGTGGGATCCGACCTCTCGTGTATGTTTCGTTGATAGCCAAAGAATGAGCCCCGACTGGGGATTGAACCCAGGATCTTCGGTTTACGAGACCGACGCCTTACCACTTGGCCACCGAGGCTGATGGATTGGCTATGGTTAGCTTGTAAGACTTACATGTTCATTGCTAAATGCCAATAGATGTTCGTCCATTTCTTAGTGCAACTAAGTAGTGCAAACCACGTGAAATACGACTGTGAATACTGAGTGGTCAAAGTACTGCAAGTATGAAAGAACTCTAGTAGAAATCAGGACTTAGACTAAACTGGTTACAGCTACTATCATTCATAGTTTCTTCAAATGTATGTCAGTTAGTGTTTGCATAAAGTACACGTGTCTATATTTAAATGGTCAAGCTATTGCATATTCCAATTTAAGTATGAATTCTAGTTCGTCTTCTTCAATAAATCATAGAACTTCCTGTATGTATCTTGTCAATAATTTCTGGAGAATAAATTGTCATCTTTCAAAATGAAGGATTACTGCAATCGATATCAGAGTACAACATCTGCTGTATTCAAATATGCACCATACCAATTAATTGATAATATTTCTACAAAGAAAAGCCCCGACTGGGATTTGAACCCAGGATCTTCGGTTTACGAGACCGACGCCTTACCACTTGGCCACCGAGGCTGACAAAGGCTGAGCAAACACAATCATTTGAAGAACGCGCTATTTGAGCCATAGATAAGTGACAAATGATACCCGAAGGTCATGTGATTCAAATATGTACTAAGTGTTATGAGCG